CACACACACACACACACACACACTCACTCACTCACTCACTCACTCACTCACTCACTCACTCACTCACTCACTCACTCACTCACTCACTCCCACGCATGGAGCCAGGCATTGAGACATACACAAACATACATGAGCAAATAGAGCAAAGAGACATGAGAAACCGAGCTTATAGGCCAGAGCTGTTTCAATCAACGGGAATAAACTCAAGTCAAAGCTTTGGCCTGCATCTTTGCACGCGCACGCACACACACACACAAACACAGACACACATGCTTGTAAACACACACCCAGACACCAGTATAGACACAGACAGAACAGGAGTCATCACAGTCTGTAGTGACTCTAATGAGAAGTGAAAGGTATACAGCCAGCCCATTAGAGAGGACTGCTTCAGAGAATAATATTAATCGTCATAACAAGCGTCCTGGAGTGAGCCGACACAGACTCTCTCACTCACACAGACGTACACACGCATACACACAGACCAGTTTGCTCTAGAAGAATGATTGCTATTTTGGCGGCCCAGTGCTTAAAGTGGCAGCGGTAATTTATGCAACTGACACATCCAGTATGCAAATGTGTGGCCTGGGTGCGGGGCGTCGTGTGTCGTGGCGAAGAGAAACCAGCCGCCTGAATGTCGGAGAACTAAAGTGCAATTATCAGGCTATTACGGCGGGAGGACGGCTGGGAGGGGAAGAATCATACAGTTTTTCTGGAGCGTTAATTTGATTTCTATCAGCGCTGTTCCCTAAGCCTACCCACCTCTTTAAAATGCCGGAGGAGAGCAGACATATGTAATGTTTCTTTGTTTTACCACAAACCCCTCTCACTTCTGAATTCTCAGCCGATATTCCCTCGTCTTTTTTTTGTGTCTCTAACTGTCTCCTTCCCATTTCCTACTTAATCCCTCCAACTTTTTTCTTTATCCCTCTCTCCTCTGACTGCCCCCATCCCCCCTCCCCCCCATCCCTCAGCCTGCTCCTGTTCTAAAGTACAATCTGCAGAGTTACCTTCTTCACACTTCCTCTCAGTCTTTGTCTCTACATCCCGCATTTCGTCATCCCTGCAGCCCTCCTGCCCCAGAATCCCCCCTCAGGCTCCATTCATCTGTCAGTGCAAAAGGGGAGGCATTCTTTGGCAGCCGACAATATCGTCCGAGCATCGGTGGTCTATGTGATGTGTGTGTGTGTGTGTGTGTCCATATGTGTGGAGTTTGTTTGGAAGTATAAGTCTCAGATTGAGGGAGGAAAACTGATGCAAGAAGTGATCACATCCAGAACTCGACAAATTGTAACACAACACGGTCACTTATAAGACAAATGTACTTCTGGCCCAGCTTCATAAACAGAAGTGTTTCTACGTCTCAAGCTACAAAAACCATTCCAAACTCACTGGACAATCTGATAAATGCAGATGTTTTCCCCACAAACACACACAAATGAATGAATTAGGTCAAAATACATAATATAAAGCACTTGTATCACATGGTATCACTAATATTGATAAAAAGGAAGAATGGTGTGGATGCTGAGGTCGCTACCTGCAGGAGATGTGCCCCGAGGTGCTGCTCAAACATGTCAGTCGCCAGAGAATGGGACGATCGCCTGACTGCAGAGAAAGAGAAGAGAAACACACATCAGACACGAAAGGATGCAGGTCATCAACAGATTTTAACAGCAGACATTCTGACTTTTAATATCAGTAAAGGTGTTGGAATGGGTTCTGTTCTAATGAGGTGTCCCAGTGAGATGGAAAAGGGAATTCAGCCATCATTCATTTTATTATTTAAATCTTATGTTTTCCTAAACTTTTTTTACACATGCACTGAGGTCCAGACATTTTCATGAAATTCCACGGAGGGCCTGTATGTGAGGAAGCAAATGTCCGAGTCACTTGCTCCCTGACATTTTCTGGAACTTTCCCTGCCAGTCCCCCAGTAAATATGACCACAAGATATCCATGACAGATGCAAAATTTAAAAAAGAGAATACAAATATCTGCAAATGAAAAAGAGGTGTCATAAGAAAAAGATGCTGATGAGGATATCAACCCGGAAAAGACAATGAGATTCCAGAGTTTTTGGCCAGACGCCGGTGTTGATGTGCTGCAAACAAAAACACGTGATTTCCACAGCAGAATTTATCCGTTAGGTCCTGCCTCCTTCCTGCTCTGCCCAGACGCAACCCCATGCCTGAATTTTCCTGTCATGGTGAACGAAGCTGAGCCGGACAATCTCCTACTGCGTTCTTTATGTGTGAAAGACGAACTCCACAAAATGTTCAGATTCCATTTTCCAGGCATTTTCTGGAGTCCATGTCTGAATGTCAAAATATCTTCCATGTTCGAAATGTGACATTTACAAATTATGCGTTTTTAGGAACTTCAGGTCGTATCTGTCAAAGTAACACAGTTTGTAGAAGCCACTTATTCCCCCCTATGACTCTGTGAGTAAAAAGTAAAAATATCTTTGGCCTGTTTCAAATCCCCACTGTGGATTTTGTTGCTTGTTGTTCTCCATCTCTCTCTCCTCTGATTCTCTGCCATCTGTCAATTCTCAGCTCGCTAACAGAAGCATAAAATGCCACAAGAAATACCTGTTTGACTCATTTGTATACTTTCATTTATAATGGTATAAAATAAAGAAATTAAAATCACAGGATGGAAAGTCATGTGTTCTGTATGGTTGTAAACTTTATTTTATTTACTTTTATTTTTATTTTATTTACGATTTATAAAGTTCACAAAAAAAAGCTGTGTATTGAAACTTTGTGAACATTTACAGTGACTTGCAGGGATCTGTAAAGTTATTTTAATAAACTTGGACATTAACAAAACATTGTAAGATTATCCATTATACAGAATGATCTGTAAATAAGACTTGTAGTGGTTTGAAACAATGCTGCGTCTCTGTGACATCTTTAAATCTGAATTTAACTGAAACGTGAAAGTTGAACCAATCATTGTCTGATAAACAGAAGAATCGACCAAAGCGGTTGTGTCTCTAAAACAACTGAGCATGAGGACGGGTGCCATGTGACACACACCGCTCACAATTGCCACTACACACGCAAACAAACACGCACACACTCATGGTGTCTGCATCACCACTCTTAATGCATCCCAAACACAAGCTATCAGAGCTGCTTCAGTGCCAAAGTGGTGCTGTTTACCAAGGCAATTACAATCCAAATAGAGTTGGAGGTGGTTAGAGGGTGGGGGGGGTGGGGGTGAAGATAGGTATGAGAGGAGCAGAGAGGGTACGTCTGGGGAAAATGAGAAAACACTAAGGAAGGCGAGAGTGATCACTTTCTCCAAAGCAAACGCGGGCATGCCAGGCTGCAGCAACGTGGAAGATTAATTTAGCAATCAGCCGTATTTACTGTTTTATGTCAAAAAGAGTATGTGATGGCTCGTGTGTGCACCTGCGAGTGTGTGATTGGAAAAGTGTGCACCATATGTGAGCACTAATCTCACTCCAACAGGGCTGCAGCTAAATACAATGTCCTCGCTCCGGCAGAGACAAACTCTGTGTACGTGTATAAACAGAGTGTGTGCGTGTGTGGTTGCACAATAATATATGAACGTGTACGCGTGTGTGAGTCTGCGTGCGTGACTTAGAGGATCCTCGGATATCTGTAAGTGTGTGTGTTGCTGCAAGGCTGAGGGAAATCAATACACGTTATGACAGGAAAATGAAAGCGCTGCTCTGGGTTACAACTGAACACAGAGGGAGGGTTGGAACACGCACGCATGCACGCAGACACACACACACAGTCCAGCTGCCTGCCTGTGATGTGGGTTTGGTGAATATAAGAGGGAGGCATTCCATTAGAGCAACACACACACACACACACACACACACACACACTTTAGGAATACACACAGCAATGAATTCTCATGTACAGACTACACAGCTGCAACATGCCCCACGATTTAACAACACAAATACCCTCACTCTCACACACACACAACCTCTCTCGCTCTCTCTCTCTCACACACACAAACGCAAACACACATAAATACAGAGTTGCCGGACAAAGCCACAGTGGCATTGTGAGATTGGGGTCCCCCTGTGTGACAGAGTGTGAATATAAATAAGGCAAGTCCATTCAGGGCTATGAAAGGGGGTCTGGTGCTGGGACCCTTCAGCCTAGCCAGTCTCTGCCTGGAGGGGGATGGGGAGCCCATCTTGCTCCCTGCCTGCCTGTCAGGGTCCCTCATAGGGTTGGGATGGAGCTGCATCACTGGGGAGTCTGGAGGAAACAACCCCCATCATGATGATATGAGAATGAATGAAAGTAAACACACATCCACATGCGCACACATCGCAAAACTGATGTTAGTTTGGGAATGCTGCAAGAATGAAAAGCAACACATGGAGGGAGCGTGTGTGTGTTCTGGGTTCCATGCTGCAGATCCCTGGAGGAGTGAAGGTGATGGTGGGTGATCAGTAGTGCTGAGTAGTGTCAGTGGGGCGAAGGATGTGACATGAGGCCAGGAGGGCTGATGGATGAGTCTGCGCGCGCACACACACACACACACACACAGATACACACACACTCTCACACACACACCACACACAAGCACAAATACACAGAGGACCATTTCTTAAAGACTGCCAGGGTACAATAGGGCGGCCAGGAAACCAAAACACTGGTTTGTGTCTGTGCACATGCACAACTTGTGCACATGTGAAGAAAGAGAGTCTGATGGCGTTGTTGGTATCTCACCCTAAGAACAGAGATCCTTCTGTGATGGAGCTTTGAACCCCTACCTATATGTGTGTGGACATTGCATGATTTTGTTCTTATCTTCTGTAGAATAGTACCTAATTATAAATTAATTAAATGAGTGAAAATAAATCATTGATAATCATTTCCATAGTTTTACCCTTTGTTCCTGTTAGAGATAATAACGTCTTGACTGCAGCATCATTGAAACAACAATGTCAGTCAGGACCAGAGAGAGTATTAATAAGATTTAACAGAAGTTGACAAACTGACAGCGAAGCCAGATTATCTAAATGTTTTTGGACTTAAAACAGCAAACAATTGTATCCATGATGTTGGTTTTAATCCCTCATCTGACAGAATAAAAACATATTCTTAATTGTTTTAAGTTTTAGTCACAATTCCTATGCAAAAGCATATTGTAAATTAAGTGCTGCGTTATCATCAATCTCAACAGAAAAGGTCAAATGTACAGTATCTGTGTTTAAATTCAACATTATGAATACATTTCATCATTGTTTTCTCTCATGTTTAGCCATTATCAGTTTCCTACTAAGCAGATATTTTGACAAACTTCTTTGCAGAATAACACAACCAACAGTGTAACGGTGTGAAAATGGTGAAATTAGTCTTTGGGATTTCCTACATACATGTACATTTCTGTGCACATGTATGATAAAACACTTTGCCCATTCATAAAAATATTGCTACATAGCACTACTAGTGATGAAAAACTATTCAGAATACCTTTGATTTGAGGTTAACAATTGTAAAACAGAGGATATTGGAGGTGGGGGAGATCTTTTTCAGCAGCAGCACATATTAGCCTCTTAATTGTTACTTGTACAAATCTAATGTGCCAGTACTGGAGACTGCTGCTCTGGCAAAACAGGATTATTATCAATGATTTACCTGAACATAAAGTGGATTATATAGTCTGGATTGTTTACAACCTGTCTGATTTTCTGATGACTTATTCCCTGTCGCTTCCATATTCAAAAATCTTCACTGAGTACAGGATCATAAAAACAGTGGAGAAGACCGAGAAATAAATTGGAATAAATTGGAATTATCCTTTAAAATGGCTGAAGTGAATATGCATTCGCCCTTTGCCCTCTTGCGTCTGTGCACAGGCATGTGCTGTGTACAGACCTAGATGAAGACCTGTGTGTGCACATGAGTACTTGGATTGCTCCTTTCTGTCACACTCCCGTTTCATTAGCTTCCCAAGAGTTTGCTGCTGTGAGGTTTAATTTCATTGAGGGAATAGGAGACAGAATGGGACGGGGCGCGATCGGACACGTTAATTATAGTCTGACTCGCAGGTCAATTCCCCGGGTTTCCCCTGCACTCCACCAGAAGAAAAGATAGAAATTTCATTTGAATGATTTTCATTATACCTCTGTCTAATACATAATTTAGTCCCACTTAAGTCCATGAGGAATGGCCGCACATACATGAACATACCCGAATATTCCCAACCTTCATGCAGACACACACTCACACACACACAATCTTCCTTTCCTCCCCCACAGTGTCAACCTTTTTAACCAGGTTAAGATGTTGCCATGGGAACCAAACAGATAACAGACGCAGTGAACCCCTTTCTCTCTCTCAGGGTCCCCGTCTCTATTGCTGTGTGTTAATTTGCATACGTCCATCCTCACACGTGGCATTTTGAGTGTATATGTAAGTGCGTTTACACATGGGTGGTGCAGTCAAAACGGTCAAAAAGTAGAGTATGAAACAACGATTGCGTCTCTAAATGTAAACAGCTTTGACTTCGTAGCGGAATGGGAGGGACCACGACCCTCTATCAATAGCGGACGAGAAAAGGGGGACATGTCATCAGGCCAGACGTTGGTGTAATCTCCACAT